TACCCCAACCCAAATTCCTGCACCCTCACATCCACAAGCCTGTGACTTGCTTAGTATTCCAACCCTCCATCTGACCCCAACACTGCCCGGCCTGGAGCCCCCTCCCCAAGCCTATGTCCATTTCTCTACCTCCTCCTGCATCCAGATTTCCTCCCAGACCTTGCACCTCTCACCCCTTCCCACACCCAAGTCCCTCATTCCCACCCCAGATCCTACACATCCTGTCTCAACCCAGTGAGGGTCCGGCTAGACTGCAGGAGTTTTTCAGGATTCTGGAGATATCCCAGAAAAAACTCTTCTGCATCCAGGGTTGCATTTGTTCTTCCGCTTTTTTTAGTGGAAGAGCAAACATTCTCTTTTGGTCACCCCTATATTCCTCTTTCCACGAGGAATAAAGGGGCTTCCAAAAGAAGGGGTTTTTCTGACATTTGGTCCAGTCTAGACAGGCCAAATGTTGGAAAAAACCCTTACTACAGAAGATTTTTTTTTAAAGCAGCAGTATAAGGATTGGGGATGGCAAGTTATGGAGAGGAGGAGAATAGAGAGGGCGGGGCTTCAAGGAAGGGGTGGGGAGGTAGATCTTGGCTTGTTCTGTCATTTAAAAAGTAATCTTGGGTGTAAAAAGGTTGGAGACCACTGCCCTAGTGGCTACATGCAGCCAGGGTAACTAGAATAAGTTAATGAATTTAGTCATAAGTGCTAACTGCCTCTTTCTGTACAACAGCATGAAAGTAAATTTAAGCTTGTTCCACTGTGTGTAAAAAAGAGTACATTTATTGTTTATTCACAAAATTGTAAAATTTGGTATTTTTCAGAATAGTTAATAATTTTCTTGATGAAAATATTCCCTACTTTTCAAGATTATAAACATTTATAAAATATATTGTATAATATCACTATATTAAACTAAATATTTGTTTTTTATAATAAAGTACATACAATATTTGCCTAAATACCTATCAGAGTATATTCCTAAATACTTATCAGAGTCTTTTATCTATTCATAAAAATATAACTTTCTTTGTTAACAAAATTACTTTTATGGATATGCCTTTATAACCAGTTGAAGTGCAAAATAAGTATATTTACCAAGCTAATCAGAATTCACTAGTTCAATAAAAATGCTCAAGTACGTCATTTTTGCACATTCCAAACTAACCAGAGGTTGGATCCACATATTTAAGAGAAAAAAACATCTGTAATTTGTGATCAAAGTCAATAGGTCTATTCTGAGGTTCTTTGTATTTACGGGTCATTTTAGTACCCAAGTAAGGGATGAGAGCACAGTGATCTATGAACTGCTCCAATTTCCTCTTGTACTTCTTGCGTACATATTCTGAGCTCCTGGGGTTATAAGCTGCAAAAAATAAACATATTAAAATATATCATATTTATTTTTAATTTATATTGCCATCATCATGATATATGGCGTCATATTACAAATTCAATTCAGAAAAATCAAACATCTTTCCACCTCAACTACTGATAACACTATCACAGGCTACATCTGAAGGCAACCTGCCCAGATTTAAAAAAGAAAAAAGGCTTGGGGTGTGATTTTCAGAAGTTCAGAGCACTCATAACTTGGATTTAAATAGCTATATGTTCTCAGCTTTTAGGCCTTTAATGAACAAAGCATGTTAAAATACATCTTAAATAGCCAACTTGAAACAAATTTCAGGACCAAAGGCCTTACACAGATGACAATCTTCCACTTCACATTCTGGTATTCAACCATGGTAACAGAAAGCAAGAATATTCTTGTTAACTGTCATGAGGCATAGGAGTAATGGTAATTTAAGACAGTCAAATCTCAGGTCAGTCAATGCTGTATAGATGATAATAAATATCTTGAATGGGACCTAGAATTGGACTGGATAGCATGTGCTATAACAATCTGTCCAGCACTGTTATTAGGGAACTCTGGGTGAGACCATGCCTATTATTTTGGCCCATCAGAAGATTGCTTTCAAAGACATAAAAACACTGAGATGTGATTTTAAACAAAACCCTAACAAACTAGGAATCTTTTCAATTGGAGCATTTGCTAGACATGAACTCTATTTCTGATTTTCCTATTTGAAAATCAGCAGGGTGGATGGATTGAGGGACATATTGTGAAAAGAAATGATCAGGTAACAAAACTTCCATTCTGGAACCCAGCATCTGCCACAATCTGTAACCGATGTGTGGTACAGACATGTGTGCGAAGCGGACAGGGGACGGCAGACAGGGGAGTTGAAGAGGGAGAGCAAGGCGCCCCCACCGCCGAAGAGGCTACCCGGTGAGAGTACAAGCTCGCATGATATTCTTATTGATAAACTAGGCAAATATAACTTAGATAGGGCCACGATAAGGTGGGTGCATAATTGGCTGGATAACCGTAGTCAGAGAGTTGTTGTTAACGGTTCTAAATCCTGCTGGAAAGGGATAACAAGTGGAGTTCCTCAAGGGTCTGTTTTGGGACCCGTACTGTTCAATATCTTCATCAATGATGTAGATATTGGGATAGAGAGTACTCTTATTAAGTTTGCAGATGATACCAAACTGGGTGGGGTTGCAACTTCTTTGGAGGATAGGGACATAATTCAGAATGACCTTAGCAAGTTAGAGAAATGGTCAGAGGTAAACAGGATGAGGTTTAATAAGGAGAAATGCAGAGTGCTCCACTTAGGAAGGAACAATCAGTTCCATACATACAAGATGGGAAGCGACTGTCTAGGAAGGAGCATGGCGGAAAGGGATCTAGGGGTCATAGTGGACCACAAGTTGAATATGAGTCAACAGTGTGATGCTGTTGCCAAAAAAGCAAATATGATTCTAGGTTGTATTAACAGGTGTGTTGTAAGCAAAACTCGTGAAGTCATTCTGCCGCTCTATTCTGCACTAGTTAGGCCTCAGCTGGAGTACTGTGTCCAGTTCTGGGCGCCACATTTCAAGAAAGATGTGGAGAAATTGGAAAGGGTACAGAGAAGAGTGACAAGAATGATTAAAGGTTTAGAGAACATGACCTATGAAGCCAGGCTTCATGAACTGGGCTTGTTTAGTTTGGAAAAAAGAAGATTAAGGGGGGACATGATAGCGGTTTTCAAATATCTAAAAGGGTGTCACAAGGAGGAAGGTGAAAATTTGTTCCTCTTGGTTTCTGAGGACAGGACATGGAGTAATGGGCTTAAAGTGCAGCAGGGGAGGTTTAGATTGGACATTAGGAAAAAATTCCTAACTGTCAGGGTGGTCAAATATTGGAATAAATTGCCAAGGGAGGTGGTGGAATCTCCCTCTCTGGAGATATTTAAGAACAGGTTAGATAGACATCTGTCAGGGATGGTGTAGACGGAGCTTGATCCTGCCTTGAGGGCGGGGGGCTGGACTCGATGACCTCTCGAGGTCCCTTCCAGTCCTATTATTCTATGATTCTATGATTCTACAGCACAATAGTGAAATAGTAAAATACAGGAACAAACAAGGAAAGAGACAGTGAAGGTAAAAGTGAGGGATACAGAAATCCAAGCTGCTTCAGACAAAAGATTTAAAAAAAATTACAATGGGACCTGTACACAAAGTACTTTCCCATAAAGGATGTATTTTAAGACGACAGGAGGCCCACTTCAATGTGAAAAGTATTGCTCAAGACCAAGTGGTTGCTCTATATCTCCTCTGTTGAAGTCAAGGCTTTGTCCAGAAAACTGATACAGAGTTTGTGGAATGAAATTGAATCCTTGGAACTCTTTAACAGATGCTACAAAAGTATTAATTCACCACTTCATCTGCTCGGTTAGGGAGAAAGTAAAGGAAACATGAGGCTGATACTGCAGATGAATCTGTGCATTTGAGACACATTTTCATGTTCCATTACCTGTCCAGATGGTGCTTTAATTTCTTTTTAGGTTTCTAATAGTTTGAAAGTCAGTATAACGATTTCCTGAGAAGTGTGGAAAATGTAGTTAGATTGATTAGAAAGTATTTGGAGATAGGAGAACCTCTGTTCTTGTATAATACATGATATGGTTCTTGTATTAACAGAATATTCAGCTCTGAAACCTTTCTTGTTGAGCAGTCATTAGGAAACAGATCTTGATAGAAAGATAAATATTAGAACACTTGTGATATTATCTGAATGTGATATGACCATATAGATCATTGTCACAACCACTGTTCTATATTTGCCACAAATCTTGTACAAAATAAATGTCATAATTTTCTGGTTATGATTGATATGCTATTTATGTGCATGTATCATCTCTGTACTTGAAGATATGAACATTAACTGTGTACCTGTTTTTTAGATGTTAACTCCTAGAGTTATACTGACAAAACAGCTAGGCAGCATGTTTGGGAAAGACTATTCAGGTTGATTGGATCATCAAAAAACAGTCTCTATTCAGACCCAGTCTGATAGTGTTTCACACTGCAGTCTTCTTTTGAAGTATTTTTGCTCAACTTCCAAGTTTGTTACTTGTGTCCATGGAGCTGGAAGTGCTCTCCTACTGTTTTCTTTAATGTTACCATTCTTAATGTTTGATTTGTGTCTATTCTGTTACATAGAGACAGACCAGTTTGGGCAATGTATATGGCAGAGGAATATTGCTGGCATATGATGGCATATATCACATTAATAGATGTGCAGGTAACTGAACCCCTGATGATATGGCTGATGTGCGTAGATCCTATGATTATGTCACTTGGGGTAGATATGTGGACAGATTTGGCAACTGGGTTTGTTGCGGGGATTGGTTCCCAGCTTAGTGTTTCTGATGTATGGTGTGTAGTTGGTGATGAGTATATGCTTTAGGTTGGGGGCTATCTTGTAAGCAAAGACTGACCTGCCTTTCAAGGTCTGTGAGAGTGAGGGACTGTAATCTAGGATAGTTGTAGATCCTTGGTGATGTGCTGGAGAGGTGGAGAAAAGTGAGTTCCTCACTGTTTGTTGAGGTAAAACACTGCTGTCATGTTGTCTATGTGAACTAATAGGTTGCTTCCTCAATCTGCAACAGAAATACTTGACACTCCAGACTGAAAGCTTTCTGTAATACTGATGTTCTTTAATAATGATGTGTAAAGCTATGTTCTCTGAGGATCACAGATCCTGTGCCTGTAGAGAACCAAGCTGGGTCCTCCATTCCAGTGACAAAGCATCTGTCACTACTAGCTTGAGAATTAGTTGTGGGTAAGCAAATGGAACACATACCCGCACATTGGTTGCATCTCTCCACTGATCTAGGAAGGAAAGGACATGTAGTCCAGTTGGTGGTAGCTTGGTAAATAGACTGATGCCAGCCAGCCCATCAGAATTCTGAGTTGTAGTCTAGTGTGATGAATGCAAAAGGCCATGTGACCCAGAAGCTTCAAATTGTTTTGTGTTGTTGAGACTGGGTTAGGTTTCAGTTCTATGACACTTGTTCAAATTGCCTGAACTCAAAGTCTGGAAGAAAGTCCAAAGCTTGAGTTTAATCTAGCACAGTCTTGTGACAAGGTGTATAAACCCTTCACTGGACAGCAGGAGATTAAGAAGCAACTCTAGTCTTAGGAGACCCCACCTCTTCACTCATGGCAAACATATTTGGATTGGAGGCACAGTTTAAAAGCCAGCCAGAGAGATCAGTGGGGGCTGGCAGACCAGGAAGAAAGACATAGTATGGAGCTCTAGAAAAGGATGGGACCTGATCCTAGACCCAGCCAGGGAATGGAGGGGGAGAGAGCTGCCCCTATAATCTTAATTTTTTGAACTGGGGAGAGGAGAGATTTTGCTATGTTGATTAACAGTCCCAGATCATTGAACACTGAGCAATAACTGTTGATTCAGGGTAACACTTCTGCATTTGCTCTTTGAATCAGCCCTTGATAAGCCAGTTGTCTAGACTGGAATAAACCTACACTTTTGTCCTTTTGAAGGAATGCAGCTACAACTGTTATGGCCTTTGTAAAGACTTTGGGGGATGATGTCAAGCCAAAAGGTTTTGTAGTGAACTGGTAATGGATTTTATTTACCAGACATCAGAGGTACTTCTGGTGAACTTCACTGATTGCCAGATGGAAGTAGGCATCGTTTAAGTCAATGGTGGCATACTGGTCCCCAGCATACAAGGAAGAGATAATAGAAGCTAGGGTGATCATGTGAAACTTTATCCCTTTTCATTAATTTGTTGAGTTGACATAGGTTTAAAATTGGTCTTAGATGTCCTTTTTGTTTTTGGAATTAGGAATGTTGGAACTAAAAACCCTTCATTCTGAGACCATATGAAACCTCATCTCTTGCTCCCAAATAAAGAAGTGATTGAACTTCCTGGACACGGTATTTCTTGTGATCCCTGAAAAGGCAGAGATGGGGTAGAAAAAATGGGAGATTATATTCCACTTGCTCAATGCACAAGACCCACTGATCCACAATAATTTAAGAGGAAGTACTGCAAAAGTGGGACAGATGGCTTGTGAAGGTGACAAGATTTGGCTCTGGAGAGATGGAGACTAATATGCTGATTCAGATTGGCCCACCAAAATGCCTGCTTTGCCATTCCTGAATGACTTGAGGGGCCCAGAGCTAGAATAGCAGGAGTGTGAGGCCTAAGCCTGTACACCTGGATCTCTCTTTGCTAGGTCTTGTCAAGGAGAAGAAGCAGAACACTGGCATGTCTGATGTGGCCAATAGTGCTTGCTGATGGGCAGGGATGTCAGAATGGGTCTAGATTCCTTAAGTGCAGGAAGCTTGCTGTCTGTGGTCCTCAAATGGTTAGTCCTAGATAGCGCTCTTTACTTCAGAGGGAAGATGAGAAGACTGTAACTAGGATGATCTGTTCATGGCCACTGCAGAAGGCATGTTTCTAGCTGCTGACTCTGCAGTGTCCAGCTCTGCCTGCAGTGAGGTTCTTACTACTAATCTGCCCTCATTAACTAGGGAAGAGAACTCTGGTCTAGGATTCTCTGAAAGCAGCTCTTTGAACTTTTCCATGGAACTCCATAAATTAAAATCAACAGTTCCAGCAGAACCTGTTGGTTAGCGATACACAGCTGCAGATTCCCTGTTGAATAAATTTCTCTGCCAAATATATCCATCTTTTTAGCATCCTTTGATTTGGAGTGGGGTGGGGTGGCAGCCTGTTATCTTTGACATTCTCTCTGTCATTAGCTATTGTCCTAACTAATGAGCTTGGTGGTACGTTCGTACAGAGGTACTCAAAACCTTGATAGGACACACAATATTTTCTTTCTGTTCTTTTTGAGGTGAAAAGCAGTGAAAACCATCAGAAACAAAGTCTTTATAGGATCTACTATTATCTTGTTAACTACAAAGCTAACTGAGAGAGAGCCAGAGGATTAAAAAGTCAACTGGGTGATATGAAGATTTTCTGACCTCTTCAGTCTGCACACCTAAGTGTTCAGCCACTTTCTTTAGCAATTCCTGATATACTTTAAAGTCATTAGGAGGTGAAGTTGTTTGTGATAAGGTGTATCTACCCCACACTGGCTCTGTTGGGACTACTTGGCTGCACTGCTCAGCAAGCAAGGGCAGCTGTAATGATGCTAACTACTAGACCATTGCAGTCATCAACTTTTCCATTTTTCTTTTCCATGACACAGCACCCTGAGATAGGGTGTATCTACCTTGTGACACTGTTCCAGACCAAATAGCATCATTTGTCAAGGACAAAGGGCAAGCCAAGTCTGGGAGAGCTAGAATCTCCTCTATGGGTTGCTGCTTTGGCACTAGAGGCTATGTCTACACTGCAGAGCTATTTCGGGATACCGGAAGTATTCTGAAATAGCTATTCAATGTTTATTGAAGCAGCCCATTATTTCAAAATAGATTTCAAAATAATGGGCAACTTATTCTGATGTCTTGGTAACAGGGGTGGCCCGTCCATATAGGCGAACTAGGCGGTCGCCTAGGGCGCCAAATGATGGCGCAATATCATTGAGGGGCTTCGAGGGGGGGCGCCAATTGCATGGTTCGCCTAGGGCACCATTTACTGGCAGTGAGTCTAGGGCCGCCCCTGCTCGGAAACCCTCAGTACATGAGGATTAAGAGGCATTTTGGAATAGTGAGCTATTTTGAAATTACCTTGAAAAAAGCTACGTAATTTGCACTATGGCGTAGCTTATTTCGAGGTAAGGGTGCAGTGTAGATGCACCCATAGTCTCCTCCTTATGCTCAGTACTAGACCTAGTACCAGACTCTGGAGATGGAGCTGCTTGATGCATAGATAGACTCAGGCTTTATAGACAAGAACATGGAGTTTACACAATATAGAGAATATCTGAACAATGTGGTAAATCCCCATGGGTTCCAAAACAGCTACTGGAATAGGGGCCAGGCTTCATTGTCCTGGCCACATTCCTATGGGAGGTACCATTGGTGGTAAGTAGGAAGAGAGGGCATCGGCTAAAACCAGCACATCCTACTTCAGGGTTAAGACATGTATGACACGTACCAGTCTAATGAGGATAATTCCCTTTCTTTTGACCATGGCAGAGCCTATGCTGTTGGTTTCAAGGACTTGTGCTGGGATTCAGGTGATGGGCAGAGTGACACCATCAAAGCAGGCTTCCTCTTGAGTGGCACTAAGAGACCACCTATTTGGGAAGTGGGCAACTGTGGTTTTGGTGCTGGAATCATTGGCAGCATTGCTGGGGACCTGACTCTTGTAAGGACAGGGACACTAGCACAGAAAGGCAAAGCAAGTTTCTTGCTGCTGCAAAAACCTCTGGTGTAGATGGCACTGCGATGGTCTCTTTTTGCAGAACCAAAGATGTTGATGGTGCCTCTTCTGGCCTCCACAATGCCCCTTGTGGTTCTGGAACTGAATTTGAGAACATAGGCACACATTTGGAGAAGGAGAGCTTAGGGTTCAAGTGCATGTTACTGAATATCTTGACCATCTTACCAGACTTTCCCTGGAAGTCTTATACTTTTTCATTAGTACAGGCGAGGGGGAATGGTGCCAGGATTCTGCTAACACTTGAGATGTGCTTCTCACTGAAGCTGCAGTACTCAGACTGGGATAACTGACTGTGGGCTGAGAATTGCTTCCTTAGCAGGAATTTCAGCCTAGTCCTTCCTATCCTTCTTCATCCTAGGCTTGAACAACCACATGATTTCACTCACTCACTCACTCACTCACTCACTCACTCACTCACTCACTCACTCACTCACTCACTCACTCACATAAAGAATGAGAGAGAAATTGTTCCAGTACAGAACATAATTTTGACATAAATTGTGAGCAGTATAAGAAGGAGGGGTAAGAAAGGGTCTGCCATACCTACACATAACATGCATCAGCAAGGGGAGCTCAGGCCACTAAATAGGTACCACTGAGGGGGGAAATTTCCAGTGCCTTTGTGCTGGGTTCACAGACTAGGTCTAGACTAGGGAGATTTTCCGGGATACCAAAACTCCACCGTGTCTAGGGAATGCGTCTGCTCTTCTGACATTTTTTTGCAGAAGAGCAGATGTGCTCTTTCGGAAGCCCTTTCTTCCTTATTTCACAAGGAAAAAGGGCTCTTCC